TTTTTCCCAAAGTGTGCTGCCAGATTTTACTTCAACCCTGAGCACTGCATCCAGCATATTCTGCTTGCACCCCAGCTAGACCCCCCCACAGGTACAAAATGACAAGTCCTGTGTCTTCAGTTATATGTCTCCGATAACTATTATAAGTTTTATATGTGCTTTATTTATTAGTCACTCTTGCTCTTGTTCACTTTTCTATGGTGTTTTTTCCTTTATGAATCTTATGTGCTAATCTTCTACTAAATACTATATTACTACATGTGTTTTCTCCCATTTGTTACTTATTTCTTATTTCTGTTTGGAGTCTTAATAAAGAGAAGTCTTTGATTCTAAGAGTTAATTTTGTCCTTTTTTTTCCCCCTGTAATCCCTTTTTTTAATTAAGACATTGTTCAGGTTTTATTTTTTGCACATTACATTGATCTCACTTCCATTGTTCCATTATTTAGTCATAGTGTGTTCTTGATATATACTATTTTATTTTTTTCGGATATTTAAGAGTCTTTCCTTTTATGATTATAAAGGAGACTTTGCCTAGTGGCTTCTAGTATTCCTTATCTGGAATATTACAATACTTCCTGTCTTTGTTCATCTTACGAATCCAGTTTTATAATATATTGGACTGATAGAATGAGTTAAGTATTCCCTCTTTTTCTGTTCTCTGGAAAATTTTATATATGAGATTGTAATCATCGTTTCCAAAAAAGTTTGGTAAAATTCCCCGGTAAATATCTGAACCTATGTTGTTTTTAAGTTTTTAATTTATCCAGTTTTTATAACTTACGAGACTACTTAGGCCAGGATCTGATGGCTCATGCCTGTAATCCTAACTACTGAGGAGGCAGAGATCAGGAGGATCGTGGTTGGGAGCCAGCTTGGGTAAATAGTTTGTGACACCCTATCTCAAAAATACCTCAAAAAAGGGCTGGTAGATTGACTCAAGTGGTGGAGCGCCTGCCTAGTAGCATGAGACCTTGAGTTCAAACCCCAGTACTGCTAAGAAAAAGACTACTCAGAATTTCTTTTTCTTCTTGAATCAGTTGAGTTAAATATATTTTGTAGAAAGGTAATGTGTCACTTAAGGTTGGAGTTAACTAATTCCATCCTTCATAAGTGATATCATTGTTATATAATCTTATAGGACCATCACCATAAATGCAGTCCATCATTGACCAAAACACCATTATATTGTGCTTAATTTGACAATCATCTTTCAGTTTTACTTTAAAGAAAATTTTTCAGAGTACTTTGTTTTTACTTTCCTTTTTACCTGCTGTATCTATACTGATGGCCTATCTACTATCTACTATTCCCAATATAATTAGTCATCTCTTTTTTTTTTTTAAACATTTTTCTTAGTATATAATAGTTGTACAGGAGATTGTGCCATCTCTTTTTCTTATTCAGTGACATCAGAAATTTATCAGTTTTACCAATTACTTTAACAACATTGGGGTATATTGATTCTATTGTATGTATTTTTGTAACTTGTATTTTTGTTTATTTGCTTGCTTTCTATCTTCTTCCCCTCTTTATCTCCTATATTCTGTTATTGTTAGCCTCCTTTCTTGCTATAGCTCATGAAGTTTGAATCTTTCTTTTTTAATATAAGCCTGTGGCTATACAAATCTCTTTAAGCACTACTATTGGTTTCCATAATTAAATTTCTAAGCACAAGGAAATTTATCTTTATATTAAAACACCTAATAATTTCATTGCATTTTGATGAGAATTTTATCTGTTATGGTAGTTTTTTGAAATTTGTGAAAAGTCACTTTACAACCTAATTTATAAATAGTGTTTTTATATGTTCCATGTGATCTTGAAATTAATGTGTAATATTCTCTCATTCTTGAGTATAAAATGTTATACATACACATTAGGACCATCTTGCTATGTTCACACTTACTGCATATCTTATTAAGAGATAGGTTCAGTTTTTCCATTTTCGTGTATGTTTTCATTTTCTCTCTGCCATTGTCAGTTTTACTGTATAATAACATGACATTTTATTAATTTCCTTCAAAATACAAAAATCTGTAATTTTCTTGTGAATGAGATTTTTCTTCCTTGGATTGGTACCCTCAGCTTCTAATGATGCTCTTTCTAAAATTATTACTTAATTAATTTATTTATTGCAGTTTCAACTCAGGACTTTGTGTTAATACTTTCATGGGAAGGCTAACATTCCCTGGATTCAATTTTATTTGCTTGAATTCACTTTTCCCTACTTCCATATTTCTCATCTTCCTTTTCTATATATGGATCATAGTTCTTTCTTCACCTGGGTTCATCTACTGATTGACCTGGCTTCATTTCCAAAAAGTTTTCTTTGGTCCTCCCTCCATTCTTTTCTTCTCTTCTCTCTCTTTTTTTTTTTTTTTTTTTTTTTTTGTTGTTGTTGTTTTTTGCTTTTGGTGGTACTAGAGTTTGAACTCAGGGCCTTACACTAGCTAGAGTAGTGCTCTACCACTTGAGCCACACTCACAGCCTTTTTTGCTTTAGTTATTTTTTTGAAACAGCATCTAGTATATATATGCCTAGGCTAGCCAGGACCATGAGTCTCCTGTGTACACTTCTCATGTAATTGGGGGTGACAAGCATGTGTCAGATGAGATGGGATATTGCTAATGTTTTCCCTAGGTTGATCTCCACCCTTGAGTAGCTGGGATTACAGGTGTGGGCTCCTGAGACCAGTTACATGAGCATTTTCTAAGCAGATGTGGCATGGGAGGTGCGGTACTAGTACATGAACAGAGAAGGGCATTTTAAGGAAACAAAAAGACACAGAATGTGAGGGAAATGCAAGTCAAGAAATTGATAAGCACTATCTAATAAAGTGCCCTGAGGTCTGGAGGCATGGCTCAAGTGGTAGGTCACATTTTTCTTTTTTCTTTTTTCTTTTTTTTTGACTGTACTGGGGTTTGAACTCAAGGCCTTGCACCTTGCACTTGCCAGGTAGTCATGTGTTCTACCACTTGAGTCATACCTCCAGCAATAGATCATGTGCTCAGCAAACGTGAAGTCCTAAATTCAAATCCCACTACAACACACCCTCACCCCCAAAAAAAGTACACCAAATGTGTTGTTAAGGGAGTCTTATCTTGTAGATAAGAACATAGGATTTGTTTTTGGAAAGAAGGTCTCCATATGTTGCCTCGGTGGCCTAGAACTCCTGGTCCTCCTGCCCCTGCTACCTGAGTGCCTAGCTCAATGACTTTGAAAACAAGAATTTTTTATGTTAGAATTTTATAAAGGGCTTAGGCAGGAGGATCATGAGTTAAAGGCCAGTCTCAGCTATAAGGTGAGAGACCTTGTCATTAAAAGAAATATTTTATACAGAAAAAAAGATATTCAAAGGTAATGAATGTTCTATTTTTAAATAAATAAAAGTATTCAAGTATCCTGTAACTTCAAATTTTGTATTATCATCTTGTGAATGATAGTATTTATCGCCAGCACGCGTATTTAAGCATCTTTAAACAAACCTATTTAGAAATAGCAGTGGTAAGACTAGGAAAATTGTCCTCTAGTTCTTAAATGAGATTTCTTGAAACTGTCTTGTTTCCAGATTATGACTGAATAGCAAATGCAGAAGACATGGTATTTTGGGACACCATGAATGTTACTTCACCTAAGGAACCGAGCCTTTAAGGACTAAAACCTACCAAAAAATACCATGACCCTAAAGTACCAGAAGTGGGACAAGAGCATGCAAAAAAGGAAAACTCTGATCTAAACTTGGGGCAGAATCATAGATAGATGCTTGATGAGACCAAGAAATTAGCTGTAGATTAACTAGATCTAGGACAGGGAAGAAAACCTTCAGATTCCTGTACAAGGCTGGCCGCAAAAGTGGCCTATGAGCTCCCAAGCCAGTGGCAACTCCTAGTTATCAGAAGAAGCAGATGAAAATTCTCTGTAGAATAGTTTTTTCACCCGAATTTCGTTCAAGGGAATGTCCAAGAACAAGTTCACAACAAGCAAACACCAAAAGAGGTAGTCACGGATAGATCTTGAATATAGAATAGCCATAGATGCAACACATAACAGAAGATAGAATCAAAGATCATCAACAAGAGAATGAATATTAGAGATGTTGAGAAGTTTATCTGATATTCAAGGGTGTACTGGGCATGGTGTTTCATGCCTATAATCCTAGCACCCAGGAGGTGGAGGCAAGAGGATCATTTATGAGCTTGAGGCCAGCCTGGACTACATAGCAAGACCGTCTCCTCCCCTCCCCAATCCCCGAAAACAACAATAAAAAAGCAGTTCACAAGACTCCATCTCAACCAATAAAAGCTGGATATGCCTGTCCTCCCAGCTAAACAGAAAGCATAAATGGGAGGATCCTGGTCCAGGCTAACCCAAGCATAAATGAGATTCTGTTGGAAAAATTACTAAGTAAAGATGACTGGAGGTGTGGCTGAAGTGGTAGAATGCCTGCCTAGCAAGTGTAATGCCATGAGTTCAAAGGAAGGAGGTGGAGAGATAGGGGAAGAAGGGAGGAAGGAAGGCAGGAGCTCATGTAATCATTTATCCTTTGACGAAGAGAAGTAATCATGCCCCCTGTGTTTCCCAAATCCTCTCATATTTATGGCTATGTGCCTCTGATGCACTGTGGTAGACTTGTTTGTATATGTCCAATTGATCCAAAATGTGATGCTCTTGAGTTTCAGTGAATATCAGACTCCAGTACCTGACTCAAAGTATGTGTTCTTTAAATGTCTGTTAAATATTAATGAATTATTTGGTTTTCTTTTTTTAAGCCTTAAAGGAAGGTTGTTATTGTACCTGCTTCCTGTCTTCTTTCACCTATCCCAAGTTAACTACTGTCAATATTCCCAACATAATTGATTACTTTCATCTATTTTTGACTTTATAATAAAGTATATGTATTTTCTTGTGACTGATTTGTCAACCTTATTGTTTGTGATACTGTGTGTATTTCAGACACTCTCATCTTGTTCCGTATTGTTTTTACTTTTTTATTTCTAGAAGGATCTGAAGAGGAAAAGATGGAAACAGACCCAGATGGTCAGCAGCCTGAGAAGGTAAAGCTATTTCAGTTTTCTCAGAACAGAAGAACTTCATTATGCCTGTTCAGCACAATAGTTCAGAGTTTTTTCGCAATGATCATTTGAGTACCTTTTCCAGAACTGTCAATGCTTCTCTATCAGCCACTTGAATTTTGTTATTTGAAGTCTATTTCTCACACAGCCTTATGTAGTACATTTTCAATTCATTTACTAAAGATTTACTCATACCCTATCATCTTTTGTACCTCTTTCGGTCACAATGGGAAATAAGAATACAAAGTGTATGGTTATTGTGAATACTGATTGTAGGGCCTGGGTCCTGACCTTGTGCCAGAAGAGAATTACAGAATATTAACTGATTTTTTAGGAGAACTGTCAGCAGGAGAAGAGTTAGAAAAGAATCAATAAGCAGCTCACATATGAGGTAGGTTTTAAAGAATAGCTAAAAGCATAAAGACTGAAATGGAAGGTAGGGAATCAAAGATTTCCAACTGGTAGGGAAAGAGAGACGTTAAACCCTCATGCCACTGTGTGGGCAGCATTGAGTGCCCAGTATGTTATTGACTAAGTCCCTGTTGATAAGAGACTCTAAATGTAAGTTTGACTGCACAGCCTCTTCAAGGACAGTCTGGATCTTTGTATTCCTCAAACTGTACAGAACATCATGAGTATTCAGGCACTATTTTGAGTGAATGTTATGTAAGCAAGATTTAAGGTCTTGATTACATGGAGTATTCTAAAACTGCATATATATATAATATGAAAAGAGTATGAGTAATAATAATGAAATTGATTTCAAATCTTGCAGTGTTCCAAATACTGTGCTTTGTATTTTACATTTATGATTTCATTTCATTCTTAAAGCAGCCTGAAGTCAAGGATAGTCTCCCTATTTTGTAGACAGTGTTCTTTAATTTGTCCAAATCATGAAAATTTCAAAGTCACCAAATGATAAAATGTTGACCTGAGGAAGTAAAGTTTTCAATCACCAGAGTATGATCACTGTTGCTGTGTTACGACTCTTTGTAAACCCATCAGTAAGTAGCTAGATTAAAGTTTGTCAGTTTTTTAATTTGGCAGCATTTCATTTTGTTTCTTTGTTGATAATGTGAAATTTCAGCTGTCTTAAAATAACTAATCATGGACTAGTTGGCTTAAGCAGTAGAGTACCTGGTTCTCAATTCCAAAGCCCTGAGTTCAAACCATAGTCCAACCAAAAAAGAAGAAGAAGAAGAAGAAATAAAGTAACTAGTCAGTAATTAATTTAAGTATCTTTATTGATCAATAAATAATACCAGTTAATTCCTCCAGCATTCCTTTGGGCATTGTAATGCTGGCCTTCATAGAAGAGACTGCAAAGAGTGCAGGAGCTATGTGCTTTGGAGGTGTATTATCTTAATACCTTAAGTGTTGAGGTGGTAAAAATGATTCCTCTGCATTTATTAGTTTCTTTTCCATCTCTTCTGTACAGAGCCCTTCTGAATTTAATCCACTTGTTGATAAAAATTTTGGACCCTTTTCTTAGCATAAGAATTTCACTCCTAAAAGTATTGTGTTTTGCTTGCTCCTTATTCTTTTGTTTTATACTCATTTCAGGGAGAAAACAAAGTGGAAAATGAAACAGATGAAGGCGATAAAGCACAAGATGGAGAAAATGAGAAAAATAATGAGAAGGAGCATGATAGTGAAGTTAGTGAAGATATCAAATCAGGTAACTTGATAGGAAGATCCTTAGATTCATTACTGTAAAGAAGCACTGGAGAAATACTAATTTGTTGTGTGGAAACATTTCCTCATTTATTTGGGCTTTGTTTTTTAATGTAATAAAGAATACACATTCAGGTTTCATTTAGTAGCCTTGTTCCAGTGTTGATTCTGCTAGCTACATTTTGCCTCTTTGTTTCCAATCCTATATAGAGATGAACAAGTTAATTCAACATGATTAAAGTCCTGTAAGTATTTCTATCCATATGTAAACTTGGACCGTTAGCTGACCCTCATAGTGGCCTTTAGAATGGGAAACCTGATAACCATGCCTGCTTATCTGATATATGCGTCTGTAAGTGTACCCTGGGCCAAAGAGGATGAATCCAAACTTCAGATAGTGTGAGACCAGAGCAGCTCCCCATATGTACTGTACTACCTCTTCAGTCTAAATATGTTAATAAGGCTCAGCATAGTGACTCACAACTATATTCCCAACTACTTCCAGCTGCTCAGGCAGAGATCAAGTGAGTGGTTACTTACAATGGGCTTTTCATTCATTCACAATACAGCTGTTCCATTATATTGGCTGGGACAAGGGTGTTTATCTCTTTCTGAACAATAGGATAGTGGACACAATACAATTTGCAAAAGATGCATATGTCTATCTGAAGACTCTCAAGATTTTGTTCCCAAAATGGAAGTGGTTTACAGTTTCAGGATTGCTACATTTGGTTTTGTTGAGAAGGTTCTCAGTTTAAGAAACTTGTTTATTCACCAGGACTGGCCATAGTACGAGCAACTATTTGCTACTCAGTTTAGTCACTAATATTTGCAAAGATAGCTGGGAAAAATGCATATACTACAAGCCTGCAAATTTATGAAGCAGTCAAGACATTGTGGACAAAAGGCAACAAAAAATAATCTTTCCCTGAACCTAAAGACAAAACTTAGTTTAGGAAGCTCTGATGAAATAGAAATATCTGCAAAGACAATACAAATTCTGAAACAAACACCAAATCAGAATCTACCTCAGACCCAAACTCTACCCAAGAATTGTGTAAGTCTGACTCTCCAGAGCTGTTACATAGTTTATGCCTGATCCTAAGCTTGTGAATTACCATCCTAACAGTCCAGTCCAGAAGATGTAAATATATACAGCACTAGAAGCTGAAACAGACTATGTAGGGAGACTGCATAAGGAACCACCAGTGTGAAACTGCAAATAGTTACGAAAAATCATGTAAAGGGTAACTAAAATAGAGTATAACAAAGTCTTCTCCAATACCTTCAAATGTACATTTCATCAGCGACATGTGATTAAAACACAAATTGTGAAGCAATCCAAACAATATATCTGCTTGATCATTCAACACAAGTAGAAGTATTAGGAAGCATCTGATGACTTTCAAGGGCATTTAAAGCAAAACAGAATGAAAACATGAACACCATTGAAACTACAGTCCAAAAATATGTGTATATACCTATATATATGCAGTATGCATCTGCTGTGCTTTTCCAAGTTAATGTCAGTTAAATTAGAATGGTGAATGGAAAGCTGTGTTCAAGTCCCATCAGTGTGTGTTCCTCAGACACCTATTATTTTATTGTCTCTGTCAGTTGCTGACCTAGCCAGTTGTGTCCATCTCAGGCTTGTGAAAGTATTATTCTCAGTGTCTGATTCCCTCCAGATCTAGGGTTTCCAGAGCATTCCATTAACTAATGAGCAAATATGTGGGTCTTAGGCTACATTCCCTAGTTTTCCTTTGTATCCGAGGGAACTGCACACACAGCTTAGAGAAGTGAAAGCAAGACAGTGTACCACTTCAAAAATGTTCCATAAATAGAGGTATTTTTAAATGCATTCAGTAATTAAACAAAATTCTTAAAGATGAAAAAGACATTGAGATTGCTTTGTAACGTCAGCCCTAGTTTGTCATGTGGCAAAGGTGAAAGGTGAGATGGGTTTTGACTTGGGCACAATTGTAATAAAATTTTCTGATATTTTCAGAAGAAAAGGAGACTGAAGAGAACAAGGAACTTACTGATACATGTAAAGAAAGAGAAAGTGACACTGGGAAGAAGAAAGTAGAACATGAAATCTCTGAAGGAAACGTTGCCACCGCCGCAGCAGCTGCTCTCGCCTCCGCCGCTACCAAAGCCAAGGTTTGCCCCTTACATCCCCTTTCCTGTGCTCTCTTAAGCCATGAATGGTCTTATTGTTTTTAGTTAATTGGGAATATTTAATATAAAGGGCCTTGCTCCCAATAGGAGTTGACTATTTGCTTGAATGACATTTCTAGGTTAAAAAAATCCTCAGACAAGAGGCAATGGTAGGAAGAATAGACCCGGTCTTAATGGTTACCTTTTTTCATTCCATTCACTGTATCATTTAGCCTTGTGAACACTATAGAAATTAAAGGCAAATTTTGAGGTCTGTGTAAGGGACAGATTGTCTTTTTTTTTTTAATTTGCCTACATAACTTTTCTTGGACCATTATCCCAATAATTTCTACCATATTAAATTATTTATGATTTTTAAGACAAAATCTGTTTCCTTTTATAAATACTTCACCCTGATATTACAGACTGAAAGGGAAGAGGGGACCTAAAATAGCTCTTCTTGAATTTGCCAGCTTTTCTGGGGGTGGTTTTTCTATTTATAACATAGTATCGACTGCACAGCATATTTAAGAAGACAAGAAAATGTTATTTTCCCACTTAGTGTTAGTTTAGCATTTTAAACCATTTCAAACACAAATACATAAAATTTTTAAAAATCTTTTTACTCATTCTACCTCATCAGTAGTTTTCTTTCTTTATAGATTATCATGATTTAGAAGCAGTGATTACTAGAACATTCCTAATCATTTTATCTTAAGCTGTTCTTTACCCATTGGTAAAGATTCTCAACTGAAACCACAAAACCACTGTTTTGAGTTTCGTCCCATCTGACTTAAGTCCAGATGGTCTTGAGAGGTCTTTTTTTTGGGGTGGGGGGTGCAGTACTGGTGTTTGAACTCAGGGCCTACACCTTGAGCCACTTCACCAGCCCTTTTTTTTTTTTGTGAAGGGTTTTTTCGAGATAGGGTCTCGCGAACTATTAGCCTGGGCTGGCTTCAAACCGCAGTCCTCCTGATCTCTGCCTTCTGAGTAGCTAGAATTATAGGCATGAGCCACCGGCACCCAGCTGAGATATCTTTATAGGTCACAGTAATATCAGGTAGATATTCCAGCCGGTTGTTGTTTATACATTAGCATTAGGTCTTGCATGTTCATACTCAACCAGTCTTCTAAAGATATCTCTGATTTATATTGTTTCCTATCTCAAGCTCAGCATCATCCCACCCCCACCCACTCTAGAGAGTTTTAAGGTAGACTCACGTATACCTGAGTGCTCATGAGGTGCCAGTTTGATTGTTAGTTCCCATTGGTTTGGCTTTGTCTTTCTCTGCCAATTGGGATTATTTGGTCATCTTCTTGCCTCTGACGTGTTCAAGTTCTTATTAGTACTGTCATCAGGGATCTTAGAGACCTTAAGGATTCTCTTGGGCATACTCTGTTGTCATAAATGAGGAAACAGATGCTGCTGGGCTTCCTTCCTTTCTCAGTCTTCGAATCTGCAAATTTAGGTGATCTTTGATTCCTGTGGTTCTTTCATTTTTCCTGGCTATTCAGGCATCAAATCCTTCTTGGCCCTTTAGTTCATCTGCTAATGCTCAGCTCTTCTCATCAGTCTCTCTTCATTTTTGGCTTGTTTCCACCACCTCATTCCCTATCCCACAACAAAAGTAATCCTTGAAGGATAACTTGTATTCACATAAATGGACAGATAAGCCTAGAGCCTAGTGAATTTTTGACAAACAGTGCCTACCTATATAAACAGCACTCACTTTCAGAAACAATGTTATACCACCCTCCAAAAGCTTCCTTATTTTCCTTTACAACTATTGCACCTACACCCAGGAGTGTTAGGAGACCAGCCTGTCTCTTAACAACATGGATTAGTTTCTGCTTTCTTTTCATATAAATGGAATCCTACAGTATGCACACAAATCTTTTAAAAGAAAATTCCTCATAATGAAATAAGGATTAATACTGTTGAATTATTTTTCTTTTATTGCCTCCTTATCTCTTAATCTTCAATTTCAAACTCTTAAGTAGGGAATTCAGAATCTTTTCATGATTGGGACCCTTCTTAGTTCTCAAACCTCTTTTCTTACCTGCCTTCCTGAACTGTTTTATTTCTTGCAGTTCTGATAAACAGATTCCACTGTCTTTTTATTTCCAGCTAAGCGTTTCTGGACACTTTCTTCACAAAGTGTGGTCCTTTCACTCTTTCTATTATTCTCCCCTTTATGCCTCTGTGCTGTGGCTTTACTATATGTTGCATAAGAAGGAAGGAATTAACTTCCTTAACTACCTTAAGAAATTTTTATGAATGCTTAATGATGTTTTTCTCAACTTCAGAGCTGTTAATATGGATAATTTTGGGCTCAAAAATGTGTCTGATATGTACTATTGTCCATTTCACCACTATTTGCTTCACTGTAGAGAAACCACTTTTATGGATCATTAAATCTGGCTCTTTGCTCTTCCATGCAAAGTTTACAAGACAGTCCAAAGCGCACTTTTTTCCCAGGTCACCAAATTTTCACTCCCTCATCATCAAACTCTTTATTTCTAAAACTAGGTGGTTATATTTTCATTCGTAAAACATCTGTTTCCATCTGATTTGTGAAAGTAGTAGTACAAATGTTCATGCTGTGTGACTTGGCACTTGTGAGCTAGTTCCACTTACAGCTGGATCTGATACATTTTGCAGCATGTAATCCTTTTTGTGCTACACGGTAATCAGGGAGTAAGGAATTCACTTAAATTACTGTAATTAGTATAGCTTATCTAGACAATTCAAGTCTCTCTTACACTCATTTTGTTTTTCTGTGTCTATAAACAGCTTTATTATTAAGAGTGTTTCACCCTCTGACATGGAGTGGTAATTAGAGCCTCTAGATCTAGCTCCTCAACAGATGAGGTGCTGTGCTTTCTGGCTTCTCCCCATCCTTGCCATAGGAGAGACTCTACATTTGTGAAATGCACCTACTGACAAGCTGTGAATTACCCCACCTGCAGAAGGATTGTACAGGTGTCAGCCAGGAGCACCACTGTCTAGGTGCACTGGATTTCTTTCTACTAGATGTTTAGGCTTAGAGAGAGAAGGAAGAACTGAAAACTATTGCTGAAAGAAACTAGAACATGTTCTCTCCCCCGCCCCTCTTTCTCTCTCTCTCTCTTTCTCTCCCTCTCTCTCTCTCTCTCTCTCTCTCTGTCTGCAGTATTGTATTTAGTTCTTCTAAGAAAGCAGAGATTACATTCTCTTAAAGCCACAGACATTCCCCCAGATTTATTCACAAACCACTCCATATCCGTTCTCCCTAAAATGGCAAAAGTAGGTTTGTGTTCATGGTAACTGAATATTAGTTCTGAGGCAACAGGAAGACATTTTCTTACATATTAGAAATATATCACAAGTTAAACATTTATGTCTGAAATTCCTTCTTAAGCTAGGAAAGTGCTGCTATTTGTTTCACAGGTAAATGTTAGTTAAAATTGATTCACAGTAACCATGTTCAGTATGAATATCATTTTTACTTGCTAACACTGTAGATAGAGAGAAGACATAACAAGAAATTGGCCTGTTTGCTTTTTTTGCCTCCATTGGTCCTGTTCATTCTCATCCCTATGTGACTAGGTAGAACCTACTTGTTCTACTGGTTGGAATCCATGTATTGTAATATAAAGTTTACCTTAACCCAATTCCAACAAAGTTACTACCTTCTCAACAGAAATCACCTCAGGTTGGTTTTTTCCCACATTCCATGTATCTTCTGTGCCACATTCCCAGGCCTGATCATTCTTTTCAGGTGTTACAAAGCCAATATGTGAGTCTTCTTTCCATGGGAAATTTAGCCTTAAGTTGGGCATGATGGTTCATGCCTATAATCACAACACTTGCCAAGGCAGGGTCACAAGTTCAAGGCCAACCTGGGCTATATAGCAAGAACCTGTTTCAAAAATCAAAGAAAAAAGGGCTAGTTGTGGTAGTATACACCTGTAATACCACCTAGCAGGAGGCAGAGATGGGAGTATCACCATTCAGGGTCAGCCCGGACAAAACTAGTTAGCTAGACCCTTTCAAATAAGCCAGGCTAGAGGAGTGGCTCAAGTGATAACAGCATCTCCCTAGCAAGCACAAGGCCCTCAGTTCAGGTGCCAGTGTGAGGGTTAGAAAAACAAAACAAAAACAACCCACAATATGGATGTCGTTTTTCATGCCTGTAATCCCTGCTCCATGGTAGGAATAAGTAGGAGGGTCATGATCTGAGGCCAGACCTGGGCAAAAAAAAAACAAAACAAGAACTTCTATCTGAAAAGATAAAGTAAAAATAAAAAGGGATGCGGGCGTGACTGAAGTAGTCGGATGCTAGCCTAGGAAGCACAAGGCCTGACTTTGCTGCTGAGTGCCTTTCTTAGCACACTTTATGCTTGTTGCAGTCCTCTTTTTCAGTTTGTTTTCTCACCACTTCAGTTCAAATGGTATAGTTTCTTTTTTCATTCTTTTCTCCGGGGCGGGAGTGGTGGTGGTACTAGGGTTTGAACTCAGATGCTCATACTTCCTAGGCTGGCGCTCTACCACTTTAGCCACTCTGCAAGCCCTTTTTTGTGTTGAGTGTTTTTCAGATAAGTCCTCACGAACTGTTTGCCCTGGCTGATATAGAATGTTGGTCCTCCTCATCACTGCCTCCCAAGTTGCTAGAATTACAGCTGTGAGCCACCAGCACCTGGCTAGGTATTATTTCTTAAAAACTTTGTGAGATTTTGGGCCGTAGGCATGACTTAACACTAGATTGCTTACCTAGCAAGCACAGGGCCCTGAGTTCAAGCACACACACACACCAAGGGAAAAAAAGATAAACTCTGACCTGTTGAATTTTTAGAGTAGGAGATATGACTCAAGTGATAGAGTGCTTGCCAAGGAAGTGGAAGTCCCTGAATTTGAATCCCAGCATCCCACCCTCAAAAGATCTATTTAAGCAGGGTGTGGTAACACATGCTTATAACTCCCAGCACTTGGGAGGCTAAAGGGAAGGACTGAGTTCAAGACC